GTGTGCGTGTGCGTGTGCGTGTGCGTGTGCGTGTGCGTGTGCGTGTGCGTGTGCGTGTGCGTGTGCGTGTGCGTGTGCGTGTGCGTGTGCTGGTGCGTGTGCGTGTGCGTGTGCGTGTGCGTGTGCGTGTGCGTGTGCGTGTGCGTGTGCGTGTGCGTGTGCGTGTGCGTGTGCGTGTGCGTGTGCGTGTGCGTGTGCGTGTGCGTGTGCGTGTGCGTGTGCGTGTGCGCACGCGTGTGTGTGTGTGTGTGTGTGTGTGTGTGTGTGTGTGTGTGTGTGTGTGTGTGTGTGTGTGTGTGTGTGTGTGTGTGTGTGTGTGTGTGTGTGTGTGTGTGTGTGTGTGTTTGTGTGTGTTTGTGTGTCTGTGTGTTTGTGTGTGTTTGTGTTTGTGTGTGTGTGTGTTTGTGTGTTTGTGTGGTTGTGTGTGTTTGTGTGGTTGTGTGTTTGTGTGCGGTTGTGCGTTTGTGTGTTTGTGTGTGTGTTTGTGTGTGTGTGTTTGTGTGTGTGTTTCGTGTGTTTGTGTGTGTTTGTCTGTGTGTGTTTGTGTGTTTGTGTGTGTGTGTGTGTTTGTTTGTGTTTGTGTGTGTTTGTGTGTGTGTGTGTTTGTGTGTGTGTGCTTTTTGTGTGTGTTTTTGTATGTGTGTGTGTGTGTTTGTGTGTGTGTGTGTGTTTGTGTGTTTGTGTGTGTGTGTGTTTGTGTGTGTGTGTTTGTGTGTGTGTGTGTTTGTATGTGTTTGTGTGATTGTGTGTGTTTGTGTGTGTTTGTGTGTGTGTGTTTGTGTGTGTGTGTTTGTGTGTGTGTGTTTGTGTGTGTTTGTGTGTGGTTGTGTGTGTTTGTGTGTTTGTGTGTGTGTTTGTGTGTGTTTGTGTGTGTTTGTGTGTGTGTGTGTTTGTGTGTGTTTGTGTGTGTTTGCCAGTTGGAGGAGAAACGTGAAGGACATCCAAGATTTAAAAAACCAAAAATGCATATGTATGTAATGTGTGTATCCACACACATGTATGTCATGTTGTGTTTGGTTCTGTCCAAAATAACACGAGAAGATAGGGGGCCCTCCACGCTGTGCCGCCATGCAACGGGCTGCACCAGGCCGGAGGTAGCATCCGCCACCTAAGGCCAAAATTACTTGCTGCCGTAAGAGGACAAATGTTCGTGGGCACCCTGAATTTTTGTGGGGACATTTGGGTTGACTCTGTATAGGTCCTCCCCAGCAGTAGACTTCGTAGACTATCAATGATATTTTATCAGTTGCTCATGCATCAAATCGAAGGAGATATTATTTCATGCTTCAGAGATCCTGCAACCCCCCCCCACCCCCAAACCCAAACAACCCCCGATTTCAACATGTTTGTTTGTTAATCACCAAGGCGCATCCTCACTAATAGGCCAAACTGATGTGACTCCTGCAAAAAAGATTCCGTTGGTGCTAGTTGAAACGGAAAAATAAGGAACCCCAAAGGAAAAATTGAACCATGTTTTGCTGAACAATAACACATGTACGACTGGGGAGGGGGGCGTCCGTGTGCCGCCGCGTCACTGGCTGCACCAGGCCAGAGGTGGCATCTGCCACCTGAGAGATCTGAAGGAACCTCCACCAGCCATGACCAATTCCCTCTAATACCAGGGACCCTACAATCCCAGCAAAGAAGAAACGGCCTGTCAAATACCTTCAAGGTTTGGGCTTTAGGGGTCTGTGGGGGGGGGGACGCGGGGGCAGGTTGGGAAGCTGTGGGGTTTGTCTGGTATTGTTCAACATCACCCTACAACATCTGGTGAAACAAATAGGTTGGAGTTTACATAAAAGCCATTGTGCCCTTGTTTGTGTTGAACACAAAACTTCGATGAACCCTTAAGGGGAAAAAGCAGCTGTTGTGACAACCATCGGGGTGTTATGTAAAACAACACGCACACCCGACGCTTTTCAAATGAAAGACCTAAGTAGGCTCCCCCTCCATCCCCCCCGTCGTTGTGGACAATAATCGCTTCTTTGATACCAATGTGGGAAATTTCCATCCCAATGACTACTTTATCACTTAGGGGATTCCGCAGCCTAAACCCCAAGCCCCCACAACCATGTAACAGTCCCTGGACCATCAAACTCCACTTTACAATGAAATATCACCCCATACTTACGGCACCTGTTTCAAGAACCAAGTTTCCACCACCATAGGTGAAGGAAATGGGTGCTCGCAAAACAGGGCGCCCCCCATTGGTTGGTTTGAAAGTGTTGGTAACAAGAAACGGGAAGCCAAACAATTTTTTTGGGGTCCCCATGTTTTTGGACACTTACCATTTCAGAGATTGAGAAGAAGCCCTGCACATCGAGTTCTCAAATATGACAAGTCGATAAGAACTCATGCCCACGAACTGCCTTTCAGCTTCCAACTCGCAAGAAATCCACAGCTCTTGAGTTGCTGAAACAAAACAAAAACATCCCACCCTTCTTCCGGAGCTCTCAAAGAGGGGTCCTTCTTGGACTCCCCACGAAGCGTTCCATTGGCTCCCGCGACCTCCCCGCGACCTCCACCCCCCACCACCGCCCCCTGCCGCGGGGCGGGCTGCACCAGGCCGGAGGCGGCCTCCCCGGCGGCGCTGACGGCGTCCTGCGCGGCCTCGATGGCCTCCTAAGCGAGGAGCGGGCGTGGGCTGTGCGTGTCATAGGAAGACTCCCCTTTTGGGGGATAGCCCCTCTTTTTGGTTCCTTTAAAGGAAAGTCGAAAGGACATCACCCGTTGTTAGTGGGGGCTTTTTTGAGGATATCCTCCCGTTTTTGGGGTTGCGTTCAAGGAAGAACCACAGGAAACCAAGCCCTTTTCCAACAAAACACGTAGCCGCGCGATCCGCTCCTTGCAGAACTTGGGGCCGGTGACGGTGGCCGAGTACTTGAAGGGCGCCGCCTTCACATAGGACTCCTCCACGGACGTTGGCCGTCCAAAGTAGGCTGAATGTATTCGTTCATACAGTCCCCTCCCCCTTGATGGCTCTCCCCATGTATGGGTGCATTGTGCTTTTGTTGCTTACCATGATTGATCTTGTTTCAAATGGAAAGAAATGGCAAATCACTTCTCCGGAGTTCCCTCAACTGAATCCCTAGTTTCTTGGTGATGGCCTAATTTTGGGGAGAGCCAGCTTCCAGCGTCCAAAATTGCAATCATTCCATTTCAACAAAAATAAATGGGTGTCTTTTCTCGAGGGAACCCCGTTTGTGTGGCTTTAAAGGGAACCCAAAAGGAAACTCTGGGGCATCCCCCACCAAAAGACACGCCCCGATTGTTTGGGTGTCGGTTTTTGGGGGGCCATAAGGCTGGCTGAAGCAAACGTTACCCACCCAAGACCCCTCTACAAGAAGTTCCTCACCTGCGTCCGCCCGCTGGTCGACCCTTGACGCCGACTGATCCAAGGGACAGGGAGAAGGAACCCAAACGTGGGTCCCTACAATGGAGCCCTTGAGTAAAGCTGGGGCCTCAACCGTGGCTGGGGAAAGGAGTTCTCAAAACATGTGGGGGGTATATAAACGGCTTTATTTAAAGGGGTCGATATACACAAACCACCATCTGATGTTATACCCAGGAGCTCTCGAAATATGTGTGGGGTGAACATAAAAGGGCTTTTTTTGAGGTCCAACTTAGTCTCCCTTCAAACCATCTAGAGTGCAAGTTTGAGGAGGTCCCACGTAAAACCCGCGAACTCAGCTTTTTTTTCTCACCAAAACACTCCTCGCCGGTGAGCAGGCAGCCTCCATCCGGCCAATAGGTGAAGTGAGAGCATTCGGGCACCACCTGGCGCCGGTGGCAACAGGTGCTTAGACAAGCAGCAGGCTTCCGGAAAAAAGGCCTCCCCCTTTCTGGGAAATCTCTCCCACGGGGCAAACAGGTCACTTTCAAAACTAGCTTTTTCGGACCCCTCAGCAACCATGAGGGTGACCAGGGTGTGGCAAAGTTTGTCTGAACTCTGAACCCGACTCCGGACTCCTGGAAAACCCGCAATGAGGGTATATAGATGACTTAAGTTGTGAGCAGGGTTGGCTTGAACTGTCAAACGAGCAGACCCCTTGTGGCCCATTTGCTTCAAGCTTCTCACATGGGAGGGCTGTCTTTTCAGGTTGGTCTAAACAAATCTTGGCTTCCCTTTGGCCTCGGATAAGGGGCCCTTCGAGGTTCCAGGGCTGTCGGTCAAGCCCTCTCAGCTTCCACGATGCGTAGTTCCAGCAGTGGAAAATGGCCCACCTAGTCAGGCCTGCTGGAAAGATGGGCAAACATTGGCCTAGGTCTCCTTCTTGGAGCATAGATGGGCCTGGTAGATGAAGCTCAGTTTTGCCAGCTAACCCAGGGCCCATAGGTGTCCTTTTAGGGGAAATAGATGGCCCTGGTAGACGATCAAACCACCAGGTAAACCAAGGAAACCCATCCATTTCTCAAGCAAAACAACCAAAAAGGACACCTATGCCAGGGCCCTTCTCTTGGTCCAACCCACCAAAAAATAGCACAACCGCAAGGACAGGCGCCCGCCTGGCACCGCGTCTGGCACGCCTCAGCGCTGAGCTCCACGCTCCTGAATAGCGACGGGTCCGAGGTTTCGTGGGGGGAGCCACCACACAAAAGAGAGGAGCAAAAGGACCTGGAGCCTGTGGAGCTTCAGGAGAACCTCAGAACCGCCCAAAATGGGAAAGAACTACAAGGGCGGCACCTACGGCTGGGGAGCGCTCATCTTCTCAGGCGTTGATGGTTGGCGATCGCATTGGCTTCCCGGAAGCCACGAATTGGCCGACTCGCGCCGGCGCGGCTCTCTGACCAGTGCAAGGGTAAAAAGGCCCCCTTTGGAAAATAGAAACCACTTTGGCTCAATACCAATGTTCTACCCTTGCGGTTTGGGCACTGTGAGTTTGGGAGCAACCCTGCCCCAAGTGTAAGGATACCTGGCTCAAGAAACACGCGATCAACTCGAGGCCAATCCGCACCACTTGTTTGTCAGGTCAAAAACGTGGGCATTGGGGCTCGACATTGACAAGCCTGTGTGCCATGACTTCAAAACGAAAGCTCCGCTAGTTCAAGCGACTGAAGTTGCTACACAATCACAGGCAATCCACGTTTCAGTGCTGAAGCGTCAATTATGAATTTCCTCAGAAACCGCCATAAGCCATTCCGACTTTTCGGATTCAAAGTTCAGATCGTGTTGCTGAGAAGGGTCTAGGGGGTTGGCTCCGTGCCAGCTGGTTTTGGCTTTGTACACTGGTTGAAGCAAGTCACATTCAAGAGCTTGAAGGCTTCAAACTGCAGTTTCTGGGATGCTCGGCCTGGTGTCACTTGGACTTGGGTTGTCACCCACTAGCAACAAGGCTAACTCCACTTGAGGAGTGCCTGGGTAGAACCCAGGCTATGCGGGTGTCTCATTCTTTGAGTGCACTCCTTTTTGTGGATGTCGCCACCCTACTTGACTCGTCCGACTCTCGGCTCTCCTCTCGGTGCTGTCCAGCTTGTGTGGGCTGGTGTAGAACATGCCTTGCTCGAAGCACTCCACTGCCTAGCGGCGGCTGGGACCCAAAGGCGCTGATCTTTGGGACCCGAAGCCGACTTTTGGCCTTGGCCGGTTGTATCAACCCAAAGGGCGCCAGCCCCGGCTCTCAGCGATTCGAACGTTCGAGTGTTCGGTTTTTGATACGCCGGCCGGCCGTACTTGACACCTTTTTTTTTTCATGCGATCTGGGCAAGCCAACCTGATGTCAAAATTGGGGAACACCGAAAAGTGGTGGTTGCCGTTTGGTTTCCACAAAACCAACCCAACAAAGGGTTTCCTCGAATCCACAAATTGGAAAGAAGAGCACTGCCCGGATTCATTAACGCTCGTTGTCCGCCCGATCGTTGAGCTCGCCATAATTTGGCCACATCATTCATTCCCCAACCGAAAGCTGGGACGGATTTCAAGTTTAACAGGCTGGGGTCCCGCTTTTTTCAGCTTCCTCATAAACCCCTACCTTTTTTGGAGCAATGCGCTTGGTGGCAAGGTTTCCCTTCAAGGGCCATGGTGTCTGACCGAAATTTGACTGAAGGCTGGAAACAGTGGCGCCACTTATTTGGGCCCGTACCAAGACAATCAAGAGATCTACCCACAATAATTTAACGCTTGCGAGCTAAACAGGTCTGCTTTTGCTGGCGCGGGCTTGGCTGCTGTAGTGGCTTGGGGCCGGCTGGTTCTCATGAAGGAGCACCAATTCCGCAGGGAAAACTTGAGACTACCTTGAACAAAATACCTGGAAAACCATTTTGAACATCAGAGAGTGCGACTTGGGTTTTCCAAAACCGACTACCCATTCCACGGCACTCGAAGCCAGCCCTTCCCTCAATCTGGATGCTTCCCCAAATACGGACACCTCAAGTGTCAAGAGGTGCTCTGCCTTTGGTGTCCTTTCAAAATGCAACTAAAAGAAGCGGCGCGCAAATTTTCACTTGACACTCCCAAATGGTTGAAACCATTGTCTGTTTCGTATTTATAGGGGGAATCGAATCATTCCAGCTTTTCTTAGGTGGTGCAGAATTTTGATCTTCAAGCGGTCGTGCCCGATGTTCGCTTTTCTCTGAAGCCATACTGGGCTTTTTGTTGGAGGTCTCCCCTTCAACAAGCACTGTGGATCACCACTTTGAAACCATGGTTGAAACCATTGTCTGTTTGGTATTTACAGGGAGAATCGAATCATTCCAGCTTTTCTTAGGTGGTGCAGAATTTCGATCTTCGAGCGGTCGTGCCCGATGTTCGCTTTTCTCTGAAGCCATACAGGCTTTTTGTTGGAGGTCTCCCCTTCAACAAGCACTGTGGATCACCACTTTGAAACCATGGTTGAAACCATTGTCTGTTTGGTATTTACAGGGAGAATCGAATCATTCCAGCTTTTCTTAGGTGGTGCAGAATTTCGATCTTCGAGCGGTCGTGCCCGATGTTCGCTTTTCTCTGAAGCCATACAGAGCTTTTTTTGGAGGTCTCCCTTCACTTTGGCCGGACTTTTCCTACACTTGTCAAGGGCCCCCTACAGTGGAATCTCCCGCCCACCCAATCCTTGTCAGGGACTATGAGGCGCGAGAGGGATTTAGGGCTCCCAAAAACCGGGCCCTTGAGAACCCTTGTTCTTCTCTAAGCCTTTGGTCTCATTGAGCCGGCCCTGTTGGGAAGGCCGGGAAAGCCCGGCCTCAAGGCCCAGGTAGTTCCGAGACTTGCTTCGAAGTCCCGGGGACGACTTGAGGCCCACGAAGCCAACGCCCAGCAAGCCTCGAGCTCGAGGCTCCGGTCTTAGACCCCGATCCGTTGCAGTATGAACCCTCTTGAGGTATGGACCAGTGGATTTCCATTAGGAAAAAGCATGAAGAAGAGCTCATGTGTTTGATTCTGAAGTGACGCCTCAAACCAAAAGCTGACAAAAGAAAGCGCCCCCACCCCACTTCCCCACTTCCCAACTTCCCCACTTCCCCACTCCCAACCCGCCAGCCCGACTCAAAGTCCGCCACCCCCGGCCACCGCCGTCCAAGCGGCCCACGCCGCCCAGGATCGCCGCCGCCGCGCGGGGGAAGACCCAGGTCTTGGGGGCGCGAGGCGCATCCGAGAGGAGCTCCTGCAGCTCCCGTGGAGTCCAAATGGGTGGGTCGGGGCTGGCCTAGGACTGGTTTTGGGGGGGAGGACAAGCCGCACGTGGTTGATTCCAACGGAAAATAGCAAAACTCACAAACCAAAAGCAAAGAAAAACACAAAACTCACACACCAAAAGGAGAAAAGGAAGCAACCCACGTATAAATCTCTCCGGCTGGTCATTCCAAAAGACCCTTACCCAAGGGTAGGTGGTATCTCACGGAGCTGCTGGGCCTCTCCGAGGTCCCCTCACGTCGTTCGGAAAGGCCGACGCCGCCTTTACGGTTGCTGTTCGGGAAAGCGAACCTAACAGAACATGGAGATGACTCCAGAACACCATGGAGATGACTCGGGCGATGATCTTCGCGCAAAGTTCGAGGTCCTTTATCTTGGGAAGCTGCCAGAGGCGTGGTTTTACGCGCGTTCCCTTTGGTGACAACCCCAACAAGGGTGCGAAGAAAAGAGAGCAACTGCTGCTCTTATATAAAGCCTCTTTGAACCTACCCCCAGTAGCAACGGAAAAAAAACATGGGCAGTTGGCTAAGGGAAACCCGTCACTGGCTGGGGTGTAGCTCCTCAGTGTCGGAGTGGCGGTCCATGGCAGCCATTGCGTTCGAATAGAGTTCGAGTCGAGTCGGGAAGCTGAGGCCAAGCGCTAGCAGGAGAAATCGGTCTCGCAAATGTGGAGGCCCAAAACTCACTTCCCGAGTGGATGGCCCAAAACAAGTTCACACTTTCGATATTCCAGTAAAATGGTCTTCCCCAAAAGATATGAAGTCCTAGAAAAGGAGACGATGTTCCTCCGCCCCCAAGCTGGTTTTGTTTGACTGCAGAAAAGGTGCGGGTCAAAGGCCAGCAACCTTTTGGCTTCCCCCGCGAAGCAAACACACCCCATTTGGGAAGTTTCAAAAGGGGGTCCGTTGGTTCTTAACCTCTGTTGCTATGGCTCCCCCCTTGCGCTCGCCGAGTCAAAATAACAGAAACGGGCAGACTGGGTTTCCCCAAAAGGACATGGGCAAATTGGGGCCCCCAGTCCTCCCCCGAACCAACTCGCACAAAACACCTCGGTGGTTTTCGTTCCGTGGCCCCACTCCTCCGCACTTCCAGATTTGGGAAGCGTCCGAACTGAAACCAAGCATTCGAGCCTGACAGGGGGTTGAATTCTTGCTTTCCAGCATCCGCCTTTAAACAGGGGAAAAACAAACATCACCCATGCAGGCAGTGGAAGGGAATTTGAAATGGAGCCCGTCGTTTTGCCCATCCCCTGGTGGCATAACACCTTAAAACGGTAAGCTTTTCTCTGACAATGCGGTGGATTCGCTTCTGACAGACTCAGCAATAATTCCTGAAATCATTTAACAAACCTGCTCCTACCACCCCTCCACCCCAACGAACACACCTCCAGTTTTTGTGCCTTTGGGTATGTGTCAAAAAAATGGGGACCCCCCAAATGGCGGCTTTCCTTTTGGCTTCCCTTTAAACCCAAGGTGACACGGGGCACCCTGCAACAACACACGCTCCCCTTCCCGCCGCTCGCAGACCAACCCCAACCACAGGAAGTCGGAAGTCTGGGCTCCGGGCGCAAGGCCACGATGAGCTCGCAGCTGCTGGAGGAGATGACGCCACAGGGGGCGGCCTTTCGGTGCCCAAGACGGTACCCTCGAGCGGATTGGCCATGCTGTTTACCAGTCAGGTCCCCTCTGTCAAAAATCCAGGAACTCAGGAAATGAGGTGAAGGGGATCAAATCATCAAACAACCAATCCAAGTCACTGGATACCTCTGGCAAGGCGGAACCTGAAATGACCTTCATTTGTAGCGGAATCTCCTTTTGGATCGGACCCTTTTTTAGTTGTTTGTTTGCTTTTGTTTGGGGGGGGGGATGGTAGTCCTCTTGGACCCTAGCAACCCGTCTTCACGAGGCCAACCTGCCCACAAAACTCATGCAACTGTGCTTGTTTCAGAGCCCAAAGGCCCCCTACTGCAATTGAAATTCATTGATGCACATGTGTTGGATCTGTGCTGTCAACCATATTCAGTAAACGCCAGCCCAGACCATCAGTTAGTTATTTCATCAGCTGATTCACCTGGGTACGTTGAGATCAATAGTAAACACGGAAACTCCACAGCTGCGGTTTGCTAGGGTTGTGCAGTTTGTGGTAAGTTTGCTTGCACCATTGAGGCAATCCATCGTACTACCAGGGCAACGCTGACCCGTGACGAAGAACCCTCGTTATAGAGGGGTTCTCCCGGATTGATAACTTGAGGGTTCTGGATCGATCAACTCACCCTGTCCAATGATGTTCGGACTCCTCTTGGTTGTGTTTTGGTGGTGGTTTGTTCTTGGTTGTATCCTTTCCTATGTGGAGGGGGCTGCTTTTTCTATTCTTAGGGAAAGCTACAAGGCATAACAGGTTCCGCTTAAACAGGAGTCAGCATGGGAAGGTGACCAAGCGTGGTCAGGATCCAACTTTCCATCCCAACTGGGAGGCTCGTTTATCGTCCTTCAGCTGTCCAAAGCTTGTCACAAGTTGGAGTGTGCCAAGAGGAATCAATCACTTTCGGGGTGGCGGTCCATGTATCTGATACCCAACAACCCAGTGGGTCCGCCTCTTTTTTTTGGAGGGGGGGACCCCACCTTGGGGAAGAATCTGCATCCTTTGGCTTTGTTTCTTGGGACCAACTGCGTCTCCTTGGGTCGAATCGGAGCCTCGGAGCCTCGCGCGCCCGGGCCCCTCTGAGCTGCCGGCGTAGAAGCCGCGGTCCCAGGGCTCCTTGGCACCACAAGCCTACATGGGTTTGTCTTCAAGTGGGAGACCCTCAAATGGGGAACCCCCAATAAGGGACCACCGACCTGCATGGGTTTGTCTCAAATGGGAGACCCTCAAATTCCAAATGGAAAAAAACCCAATAAGGGAGCTTTCCTTTTGGTTTCCCTTTGAACCAACCACCAAACGGGTAACCATGCTAGGGACCTGTTGGGTTCCATGTTGAGGGTGAAGGCGCTGCGATTGGTAAAGGACCACCTAACAGGCGCTGCGTCTCTCGCTCTCCCGCAGGCTCTCTCACAGTGAGCGACCCTGGTAATTGATGGTTCGGAGCATGGATTTTAACCCTAGCTCCTCTTGAAAACCAGACTATGGGAAGGGAGGTTGGAACCATTTGTGCTAACAGGGAGACGTTCCCCACCAGTCATTTGGGAATGCCTTCCATGTCGCAGCGGGCAGCTCCCGCAACTGGCCAAAAGAAATTGTGTCCTTTTGCAACTACCAGGTATGCTCCAGCAAAGCTGGAAGACGGAAGTGTCTAACCAACAATGTGCCTATGGGAGATGAACTATTTTCGTGGCGCATCTCGTCTCTTCTCGTCTTTCTCCTCTCTGAGCATCTCGTGTCGTGTCTTTTCTTTCTCTTTATCTTCCTCTTTTTCTTCCCCTTTCTTTTTGCCTCACGTCCATTGAACACATCTGAGTCACAATCAAAGCTTGGTATTCAAGGGGGAAAACGAAGGGAAGCCAAAAACCGCATCGAGGTCGCGGCAGCGGATGCGATGAAGCGCCGGGAGGCGTCCAAGGGGATGCCGCACACCGCTGGGGTGGGGGACCTCGGATTTTCGGTTTTCGGGATGACCCGGCTATTTCCGAGCGAAGAAGCCACAAGCTCACTTTGTTGAGGTGATGTTAAAAGGTGATGCTGGAATCCAAGGGGAATGTACGTTCCTTTGTGAGGCATGTTTTTGGGGGGGTCAAAGGGAAACCAAAGGGAAGCCAACCAATTTGTAAGTCATGTCTAGCCCGAAGTGCAGCTTCGGGATGCAAGATTGGTCCACGATAATTTCTGCAAAAAAACTGACGAATAACAAAAACCCAGACCGAGTTATTTTGACAACTCTAAATGAACCCCGGATGCATTGTAGGAACCCCTAAACACCTCTTGGAAAACCCATTCGACCCTGACCAGGGGTCCACGAACAGCAGGGCGAACTCTTGGTTCATCTCTGCCAACTCTGTCACTTATGTCACCAACATCAAGCGAGCAGGTGAGCTGGCATAAGCCAAGGCGAGTTCGCCGTGCACTGGTGCCAAGGGAAACCTCCCAGTCCTACATGTCTAGCCATTTCCTCAGGGGCATCCCGCAAGGGCTACGGTCCGAGTCGTGTTGCTTTCTGCTTGTTCCCGGGCTCTGTACGCAATCTCGACACAAAGCCGATAAAGAAAGCCACGCCTCCTTAGGGGTTGCTCTGAAAAGTGCCCCGGGGAAATTGGAAGGAAGCCATGCCAACTTTCCACTTCTTTTTCCGTTTTAGCAGGGGAAGGTGCAGTAGATTGGGCTACAGACTTTACGACTTTCTTAGGCTTTTCTTCCAACGAAACGGCGCCGCGTCGATCGCCCGGACCGCCGGACTGGTCCAATGCGGAAGCTTCGTTTCGGGCCCCCCAGCATGCGCTCGCAGAAGAAGGTGGAGAGCCCGGGCTCGGGCGCGCCCTCGCGAAAGCTGCTCGGTCTGTCACAAAAGTGTCACCTCCGGTGGATCCATCCGGAAGCAAACCGCCACCTCTTTTCAGTGGTGAAAGGGCGTGAAAGGGAAATTGCTCTCCAAAAGACCAGGAACCCACTGGGAAGCAACCCCAGACCCACATGCCCGGTTTGTCATGCAAGTCCCCCCCTTTTGAATATAGCTTGAGCTACCAAAAGATACCAAAAGATACCAAAAGGAGATCCACCAAAATGAAGCCCGCAAGCCAAAGGAAAGCCTTTCCAAACATGCGCTGTAGAAAATGAAGTACACGCTCCAAGAGAGATAAAGAACGAGAGGGCATCAAACTGGAACACCAAGAGGAAATATACCATTTGGAGGGTCCGCCATTCGTGGGCCCACCCATATCGGTTTGTCTCAAAACTGTGGAACTCAACAGAATGTGTTCTTGTATTCCTCCTTTCAAGCAGCCCCAAAACTGGTTCGGACTTTTCGCCGATGAAACAAACAGCACTTTAAAAAGGGGGTTGGAAAGCTTGGGCACTGCGCCTTTGGGAAGAAAAGCCTAAAACGACCAACCCGAGCTGAATCCTCGACCCTTGTGACATTGGCCTCCTTGGCGATGGCGTGGTACCTCCGGGCTTTGGGTTCGTGGAGCTTGGGTTTAGGAGTCCAGACTGTCACGGGTTCTTACTTTCAGCTGTGAACAACATACACACACACACACCTCTCCTGGCAAGCTCACTTTAAAGCCAACTGAGACAAAGTGAGCCTGATTCTTGGGCACATGGAAGACAAAGCTCTTGGCAATGGGACCAATGCAATCCCGGCAAATTGTGTCAAGAGGCCAGTGTGGATGCCCAATCGGAACAACCGGGTTCGCCCTGAAGTGTTGAACATGTTTGCTACTCCAAAAGGAGCCTGTCCCGAACGACACTCACCAAACAAGTAGCTTTGGTAACACATGTCCCTGCCAAGCGGAGCCTTGTGCTTCCCAAGTCTTGAGCGACCTCGCAAAAAGGAAGTCATGTTAGAAAGTGCTTGAATAGGCACATTCTGGGTTGCATACTTGAGAAATGAGTTTCTGGATTCAGCCAGAACGGTGGACAGTGAGACCAAACGTGC